ATGATCTTTGGACGGACAACCCCGGACGGCGGTCACAGGAAATAAAACGTGTTACGTTTCAGCAAATTTGGTGTGATTTTTTGGACTAGTTGAGATGGCTAAACAAGCAACTGTTCAAGGCTTCCGGTGGAGGCGCAGACCACTCCGCCGACAACTAAGAAAGAGAGGATGCTCTGAAGATATCGAGGATGAGGACAATGGGGCCAGCTTGGATGAGTAGCAGCCAGAGTGTTGATTAATTCTGTAAATGCTACGAGTTGTGTAGAGATTCCTCTGGCGACGGTCGCTGCGTTCATCATGGGCGGCAAAAATGGCACCGATAGATCCCATTTGAAGATGCTCTGCGTCTCTCCGCGTGACGACGAGCAGGATGATTGATACATTCCAGGATATAAGAGATCGCATAACGATTCGAACCACATTTCATCTCATCTGTCTTCCGGAGCAGCACGGCAGAATTTATCATTCCATTTTCAGTGTATTTTGAAGTTTGAAGCCCAACGTTTAAAGGAAGCTGTCCCGACTCTTTGCTTCTTCGACCAGAACCACGTTGGGCCATTAGACCTCTGACCTTGCTTGTCTCTCCAGTTTTCTATCCAGCTCAGAGTCAAAATCGTCTCGTACGTTTTGTGCTTATCGCCCATCTGGTGTTTGCGCTCAACTTTGCACCCAACCCTTTCCCTCTTGCGCTCTCGCTCTCACTCTTCTCGCCCTTCGCCTGCCTCTCGCCCTCCCCCCCACCCACATATATTCTCCGCGCACACGCGAAATCTAGGCAGACGACGAGCCATCAACCATGTTTAACGGTAGCCTCGTCCCCAACCCCTCCCAGCACAGTCAACTGCCCCCCCTCGGCGACCTTCACAACGGCATGTCGACGTCTCCTGCAAGTGGCGACGATGCCCATAGAGCTGCCCAGCTCGCAAACGCCCTAGGCGAACCCTCAAAAAACGAGACACGCCCACAGGCAACTTTTCTCACCAAACTCTATGCGTGAGTGACTCTTTCACTGGCTGTGAACGCAATGCTCACGAATATTTCTCGATATACGTCTCGAATCCGATCTGTGTGCGTGCGTGCACATTGATTTTTGTCTACTCTTGTGCTTGTCCTCTGCCTCTTGCTGTGGTATGCGACCCTGGTACTGTCAACTCTGTTTTGTATGAATTCGGAATCTTCCTTTTCGTGGTTGTCGTCTTCCTGATTTCACGAACTTCCCGCCACTCTGTCTCACATAATTCTGGCGGGTCCCGCAGTTTACTGGAGCGACCGGAGAATCACCACATGATTCGATGGGACGCTGCCGGTGAGCATATCATTGTGGAACGGCCCGAACAGCTTGCTCTTCATGTTCTTCCCTCTGTGTACCGACAATCACGCTTCGCGAGCTTTTCCCGTCAGCTCAATGTACGTGCTTTTTTACTTGCCTCCATTGCGTCGCATTGCGTCGTCCCCGCCCTCCTAGATGCCCGTTATCAATCCCCGTCCGTTCCAAACAAGTGCTTCCATCTGTCCAAACTTTTGGCTAAGCCATCCGGCCCTTTGATTGGCCCACCATTATGAGCTTCTCGAAACTGAACTCCCACGGCAGATTTATGGTTTCATGCGCAAAGTCAACCTCCGCAATATTGATTCGACAATTGACGATCCTGATGCTAGCACATGGTGTACGTATTGCTCCCCATCCTCCTCCTCCACCCCCATCCTCCCCCATTATTTTTATTTCGTATGATCAATCCCCCGCATTATTTCGTATAATCAAATACCCCTTTGAAGGGGGGGAGAATAGCGCTTAGGATAACGGCAAATTAACCTTTTCTCTGTTTGGTAGCCCATCCGACCCTAAGAAGAAACTCGCCGGCAGACGTCATTGCCAACTTCAAGCGGAGGGTTCCGCCCAGGCTTCCCAAACCAAGAAAGAGGCCAGAAGATTCTGCCCTCACTTCGGGGGCGCCTCGTACCGCCGTAAGTCTACTGCCCTTCCCCTCTTATCTCGATCCTAAGTCCGACACCTTGAAGGGTCGTGCAAGAGGTTTTTCTGCTCCTGGATCTTACACCCAACCACAGCCAACATGGCAGAGCGCGACTCCGTTTGGTCAAGCGCATGCCCGTCAAGCACTTCCGCCTCTGGCGCCGCTCTCGACGCAATCCAATATGCCCCTGTATCCGAGCGGGCCACATTCGTCAACAGGTTACATGGGGCATCAGCCCCCTCCCGGTAACGGACTTCATCACCGTTCGTCTCACGGCAATCTGTTACATCCGCTTACGCCTGCAACTCCAGACGATCCCCATAGCCCCCACCATCTCACCCCAGGTGGCTATTCAACACACCCTCAAGGTTATGGACAATCCGGCAGGGACCCCATCTTCCTCTCTGGAGGACATGGGTCGTCCCAGGGAACCGGTTATGGATACAATCCAGATGGAGGTGCTCCTCATAGCAATTGGTCATTCTTACCCCCACTCCAGACGGGGAATACAACTGGTCCGTTGTCGTCTTTGTTAAATCCGTCCACCACCCGGAAACAGCACTCATACTCAAGTACTTCCTCCTCACAACTTACAGCTCAGGGTAATAATGCATCTGTATCGCCTGATAGCCGGCCAACAACGGGTTACTCGGTCGCATCGTCCTCGATGTCGATCCCGTACGAAGATATGAGCAATGATTACCGCCCAAGATCCAGTGCGGGGGGACGTCCAATGACGCCTACTGCCATGAACTCTGGTCGCCCTCCTTCCGCCCACAGCCGCCCCTCGAGCGCAATTGCAGGAACAGGACCACCACCACCCAGCCACCTCAGGATTGGAAGAGCGCGCAGGCATTCTCAAGCAGTTTCTCCGTATCCAGCTCCCTTCTACGACATCAATGATGGACGACCAGTGACTGCTCCCGACAATACCAGCGTTCACCGAGTGCGGTCGTTTGGCAACCTGCCTCAAGTCGATTCCATTGGCGAAGAAACGGGACCACAGGGCGGCTCCGGGGTTGGTCAAGCACCCTTCATGGGATTTAATGGCACACACGCAGACTTTGCCTATAGTGCCGGCGGTGGCGGCAATCCTAACCTGGAGCCTATGGATGGAGGCTGGCTCAATGGCTCTGGAGCATCACATGCCCCACCGAGCCTGAACCCACCCCCAAGCGGTACGACCTCGAGTATGCAGGGCAGACCCAGTACGGCGGCGTCCACCATGTCGGCCCACTCGAGCGCGAGCGCGACCCAGACCCCACCAGTTATGGATACATCCTTTACGGGGCATGATACAGATATTAATCGGTGTGAGTAGGACCCTCTCTTGATACGGACCTTCTTCCCTCAACCCTGAACACGAGCTTCGACTTCTCGACTTCTCAATTCATTTCCCGAACCGCTCTCCCTTCCCTCTTTGGCACAATCCTTTTTTACCTCGTTTAACCTCTTTTTCGTCCCCAAAAAAACAAATCAATTGTTGACTGATGCAGTTTTGACCAAATAGTTTCGCCTGATCTCAACTTCCTAAAGGGACCACGCCTCGGTGCTGCCCTGCAAGGCGGTGGTGTAAAGGTTTAGACTACAACACAAAATCAGAAACACTTATGCCGTTCGCCAACCTCAGTGTGCATGCCGTTGTCGCCTGACGTGTTTAGGCAATAAGCATGCGCTTCAAGACGTCGGACTTTGCAAATCCACTCGATCAGTTGCCAAAAAATTTTCCCAGTCCCATTCTCCGATGATTCTTCTTCTCTCTCTTTTGATTATTATTCAACACTCTTTTTCCCTTTTCAGTCATACCCGATCTCGCCTTTTCATAGGCTCGCCGTGACCTTGTGACCTGCTCACCTGCAGCGGTTACGTAGACGATGATCAAGAAGAACTCAAGTCGGACGGGGCTGAGCGCGGTACGATACCAGGCGACCTCCACTCGCTCGCCTCTCTTACGCTCTTTATTTACCATATTCACTTCCACCAATGAACTCATCCCCATCTTTGCTGCATCTAAACGCACACAAGATCTAAAGCAGGCCTTCCTCCCATTTTATATTTCGATCTGCCCAATCTCTGTCCATATGTGATAAATTTCAGTCTTCTTTCGGTTTCTCTTTCGCATTTTTCCCCCTTTGTGTACCAGTAGTGTGAACCCCACTCCCAACTATACCTCCTTATTCTCACAAGTCCATAAAGGCCAGTGTAGGCACACTGAGTCTCACACAACAATTTCGTGGTGGGGAAGGTTCTCCACTTCACATTTATTGCTAGATTGTTCTCTTTTCACCAGTTCCAGAGAGCAACGTTTCGATCCTCTCTCCTTGATATTTACACTGAGAAATAGAGAAGTTTTTAACACATCCACAATCTATAGATATGCATTTGAGTGTACTATGTCCCTTAGATAGACTTTTTAGATGAGCTTGAGGACGGCATTGGTCACTTGTTGTGTCGTAGCCTTGCCTCCCAAGTCCGGTGTCAGCGTCGTGGCCTCGATCAATACCGTGTCGACCGCCTTTTCAATTCGGAGAGCTGCATCTTCATAACCCAGATGTCTCAGCATCATGGCAGCTGATCGAATAGAAGCAATCGGATTTGCCTTGTTTTGTCCAGCAATGTCAGGGGCAGATCCATGGACCCTGCAAGAGGACAGTCAGTGTCAATACTGTGGCTGTTTCGGCAAAGGGAGGCCGTGTCACTCACGGTTCGCCGATAACAAAATCATCTCCTGCGTTCACCGAGGGAACGACACCCAACGAGCCTACCAGTGCAGCCGCAGCATCGGATAGAATGTCACCATAGAGATTGGGAGCGACCATTACATCGAATACGCTGGGGGAAGTCACAAGTCAGAATTTTTGGCGCGCGCAGGGTACAATGGGAAGTGAACCGAGTTCGACACCTACCTCGGTTCTCGGAAGAGTTTGTACACAGCACTGTCGACCAATTGCTCCGCAACTTGGACATCTGGCCATCCTTTGGATACATCTCGGACAGATTCACGAAACAGGCCATCAGTAATCGAGAGGACATTTGACTTGTGTATAATGGTGAGATGCTAAATACAAAAGGCTGTGAGCATCCCCAATCGATTTTTGCCAGTTATGGAATATTACTTTTCGAGGTCTTGCTGCGGCGAGCTTGAATGCCATTTCTCCTATTCTTCTCGAGGCGTTCTCTGTGATTACCCGAGTAGCCTTAGCGACTTGTTTTCCGTTGGAGTCCTTCTCCAGCTTTTCCTGTTTAACATACTGTTTGGGATTGGTTAGAAGGTGTGGGGAGGAAGGAAGGCCACATGAATCATAGTGCTGACCAGGCATTCTGTATTTTCCCGAACGACGACGAGATCCACTGAGGGCTTCCCAGAAGCTGACACCTACAATTCTGAGATTAATGGATAGAAGGGTGCATAAGTGAATAAACGTACGCCGACAACGGGCCTGATATTTGCATAGAGGTCCATGGCTTTCCGAAGAGCAACAATAGGCGAGGAATATCCAGCAACTTTGGTGGACGGCGAGCTGCCATTATTCCAAGTTATAGTATCAGTTTTTGTCCTCTTGATGCAAAATATGTTTCCCGTTCCTACCTTACAGAACCAAAGAGCGCGCAGTCACACTCGTTTTTTAGTTTTCTACATCATCGGCTTTAAGATTTTCAACGGTAAAGATGGTCATAAATGTACTCACTGTAAGGTCTCTTCTGGTAAAGCTTTTCCATGCTTTTGAAAGTATTCAAAGCCCGCGTCTAGGTCGATGAATTCTGTTTTGGGAATGGTCGAACCGAGTGCTTCAATGGCCTGGCGTGCCGCAGGAATCACCTCTCGTCCGATTCCATCTGCGGGAATAAGTCCTATTCGTAGTGTCTTACTTGCAGTAGACAATGCACGACGAGACAGCATGTCGCCACTCAATTGGTTATGCAGCGTTTGGTAACCTTTGGGAGTTGTTTGCCCTTCTATTTTTTGGAATAGCACTTGACCCTTGACCACGACTTCTAACAAACTAAAGCGGAGCAACTCAACTTCACGAAATCTATTCTAGACGATTATACAAGCACATTTATACCGTAGCCCATGAACAGTCGCGTACTTTCCCCCGCCTTTTCCACACCCCGCAGCTCTGTCGCGTCTTTACGGCCAAAACCGAAGAAATTCGATGCAGAAGGTCTGACAGGCTACATGAAGCACCTTTTGAGTGCTACACTGGCGAGTCAGCGATGGCCAGAATTGAAAGAAAGAGATAAAGTCAAGGCTTGGTGTTGGTGATCCCCTTTTCCAGCTCGAGTGCGCAATTTAACGCGCTCTTTTTGGTGCAGGTCGCGAAATTGGTGAGCGCGTTAAAGAGCGCATGCTCCATATTGAGCCACAAGGCTTGTAAGTCCCAAATCCTCTGTCTCATGTGCTCTGAATGCTGATTTACCTCAAGTAAATACATTGTAACAACCCAGATATACGAAAAACTTGGTCAGGGAGGAAGGTCAGTGGTTGTCGTCCCCTGACGTTTCATCCCAATCGCTCACGCAGGTGACAATTCATGCAGGGCGGATCTGTGTTGTCATTGGGAGGATACGGATGCTGTCGCACAGGCTATGTTTGATAATGTATGCCCTCATCAAATATTTTCTGATCTTACTAGGCGCTAACCAAAGACTCAGGATACCCTAATTTGCTTCTGTATTGCCTTTGCTGTGCGAACATCTAGCTGATAGAACTCGGGAAATCCGTCATGACGGTCCCAGCGTAGGGCCCTATACTGCACATTCTTTTTATCTCCCCTTTATCTTGGATCCAGGCGCTCGTCGCCTCTTGTATTAATCCCCTGTACGTTGCATCGATCTAGCAACCTTCATGACCAGTTAAACCTTGTGCGGTCAGTAAAGGGTGAGGGTAAGACACCACTTGGACGCATAGGCTATCTTGATGTGGGCAGGCAGCCGTCCAATGTAAGTTGGCTATTCCCACTGGAGTACTGGCATCACCCAATACGCAATGATAGCATCTTCATCTTGGTCGTCCATCCAACACAAGCCATCGCGCAGAAGCATGTTCTCCAATACTGCCGCAGCCCTCTCCATTGGCCACCCGGCAGTTGCAGCCACCAAGTCTACCCACACCTTTCCTCCGGCAGATGCTGCAATCTCTATAACCTTTGCTTGATCCTGGTCCAGCTCTTTAGTAACTGACCGGACCATTTTCTTGCTTCCTAGTTGGATGACTTCATACCCCGCGCCGAGTGGCTTAAGAGTCTTGATACTTCTGAGCACGTCTTCTTCTGTGACAGCGCCTAAGTTAGATTGTGTCTTTGCTGAGCTCCCATATGAGTCTTGACTTGGGATGCTTCTGAGCTTGTTCAGCATCAGCACCAACTCATCCATGTCAATCATCCCTCCATTCCTATCCCTCATTCCTACACATATATCCACAATTTGAACTCCCAGTTCATATTGCCAATCCCCCATTCCTAGTAACTCTGCCCACCAGCCTCCTTTACTCGGACCCGCAAGGGGATCCACACCGATGGCTGAACACATTTGTTGAAAGGATGCCCTGAAAGCAGGATCTTTTCTGATATCTTCACGATGGGATGCAGCAAATCGCTTTAGTGTTGTTCGAAATAAGTCCAGTTGGGCTTGCAGAGCGTCCAGTGACTGTCGCGATAACGATTCAGAGAGTGTTGCATATGACTGGATATCTGCTTTATGTCTTTCAAAGGCTGCTAGTCCTGCGCCACGTCGCAATGCCATGATTGAAGTGGGGAGCAGGAGGAATAGGAGAATGCTGAATTGCCACCTTCTGCCAATGGCACACTATACACAACTCTCAGAACGCCATGTATCCAAATGTGCTCGAAATTCACGGAATCATACTAGCTCGGATGAAGAAGGCTTGTCTACGGACGTGCTATTATCCCAGCTTCAGGAAGAATTCGACAAGGACGAGGCAAGAATGAGCCAAAATATCTTATTCTACCAAGACGTAGTAATAGAGGATCGTAAAAAACCAGGAAACAAAGTTCGTTTCTTCCCTGAGCAGAGTAAAAGCGTGTTGGACGACGAGCAATGGAACCCACCAAGTCGCATGAAATACCCTCCTACTCCTGCAAAGCCGAGCCCCTCCACAATAGCTAGGATGATGGACATCTCGTACACTAGCTGGAGCAGCTCATCATATGACGATACTACTGCTGATTCTAAACTTGCAGACTGGTTGGCTTCCTTTGCGGAGGAAGAGAATACTAGTGTCAAAGTCAACACATCAACCAGAAACCCCTTCATCATCCGTGCTACAGAAGTCTCTTCCTGTCAAACTCCTGGCAACGAGGAGCCGACCAGGCCCCGGAGCCTGGCTGCTGGAACCTTGCACAGTCGTCGCAGGGCCACCCCATGGAACCCTCATCATCGTAGAGCTGTTTCTCAGCCTTCTTATTCCACGTCAAGTTGGTTTCCATCTTCCCCAGCTCTACCATTCTTGCAGACTACGCCAAATCGCGCTAGGACAATGAAGTTAGAAGATGAGGGTTCCATGGGGTGGCCCTGCGACGACTGTGCAA